CAAAATCCATGAAAAAATGCACTCAGAAAAATTGAAAAATTGATAAATCACCACAATTGCTTAGCACGATTTTATCTCAGGAACTATAAGTGTCAATGAGTTGAAATTTTCAGGGATTGTAGTCCTTTGAAAAGGATAATTTTCAGTGAAAGATTCAGCTTTCTATCTATAATAGAAAAAAAGTTATGACTTTTCAAAATTTTCCAAAAAAATCATAAGGGGGGTACCTTCCTACTAAAACGATGAAATTTCAAAAAAAAATTTGTCGAGATTTTGTGTCCAAATGGTCCCTCGTGATACCCTGAACTCCATAAACCAAATTATTCTCAGATTTGAAGCCAAAATCCATGAAAAAAGGCACTCAGAAAAATTGAAAAATTGATAAATCACCACAATTGCTTAGCACGATTTGATCTCAGGAACTATAAGTGTCAATGAGTTGAAATTTTCAGGGATTGTAGTCCTTTGAAAAGGATAATTTTCAGTGAAAGATTCAGCTTTCTATCTATAATAGAAAAAAAGTTATGACTTTTCAAAATTTTCCAAAAAAATCATAAGGGGGGTACCTTCCTACTAAAACGATGAAATTTCAAAAAAAAATTTGTCGAGATTTTGTGTCCAAATGGTCCCTCGTGATACCCTGAACTCCATAAACCAAATTATTCTCAGATTTGAAGCCAAAATCCATGAAAAAAGGCACTCAGAAAAATTGAAAAATTGATAAATCACCACAATTGCTTAGCACGATTTGATCTCAGGAACTATAAGTGTCAATGAGTTGAAATTTTCAGGGATTGTAGTCCTTTGAAAAGGATAATTTTCAGTGAAAGATTCAGCTTTCTATCTATAATAGAAAAAAAGTTATGACTTTTCAAAATTTTCCAAAAAAATCAAAAGGGGGGTACCTTCCTACTAAAACGATGAAATTTCAATTTTTTTTTTGTCGAGATTTTGTGTCCAAATGGTCCCTCGTCATACCCTGAACTCCATAAACTACATTATTCTCAGATTTGAAGCCAAAATCCATGAAAAAATGCACTCAGAAAAATTGAAAAATTGATAAATCACCACAATTGCTTAGCACGATTTTATCTCAGGAACTATAAGTGTCAATGAGTTGAAATTTTCAGGGATTGTAGTCCTTTGAAAAGGATAATTTTCAGTGAAAGATTCAGCTTTCTATCTATAATAGAAAAAAAGTTATGACTTTTCAAAATTTTCCAAAAAAATCATAAGGGGGGTACCTTCCTACTAAAACGATGAAATTTCAAATTTTTTTTTGTCGAGATTTTGTGTCCAAATGGTCCCTCGTCATACCCTGAACTCCATAAACTACATTATTCTCAGATTTGAAGCCAAAATCCATGAAAAAATGCACTCAGAAAAATTGAAAAATTGATAAATCACCACAATTGCTTAGCACGATTTTATCTCAGGAACTATAAGTGTCAATGAGTTGAAATTTTCAGGGATTGTAGTCCTTTGAAAAGGATAATTTTCAGTGAAAGATTCAGCTTTCTATCTATAATAGAAAAAAAGTTATGACTTTTCAAAATTTTCCAAAAAAATCATAAGGGGGGTACCTTCCTACTAAAACGATGAAATTTCAAAAAAAAATTTGTCGAGATTTTGTGTCCAAATGGTCCCTCGTGATACCCTGAACTCCATAAACCAAATTATTCTCAGATTTGAAGCCAAAATCCATGAAAAAAGGCACTCAGAAAAATTGAAAAATTGATAAATCACCACAATTGCTTAGCACGATTTGATCTCAGGAACTATAAGTGTCAATGAGTTGAAATTTTCAGGGATTGTAGTCCTTTGAAAAGGATAATTTTCAGTGAAAGATTCAGCTTTCTATCTATAATAGAAAAAAAGTTATGACTTTTCAAAATTTTCCAAAAAAATCATAAGGGGGGTACCTTCCTACTAAAACGATGAAATTTCAAATTTTTTTTTGTCGAGATTTTGTGTCCAAATGGTCCCTCGTCATACCCTGAACTCCATAAACTACATTATTCTCAGATTTGAAGCCAAAATCCATGAAAAAAGGCACTCAGAAAAATTGAAAAATTGATAAATCACCACAATTGCTTAGCACGATTTGATCTCAGGAACTATAAGTGTCAATGAGCTGAAATTTTCAGGGATTGTAGTCCTTTGAAAAGGATAATTTTCAGTGAAAGATTCAGCTTTCTATCTATAATAGAAAAAAAGTTATGACTTTTCAAAATTTTCCAAAAAAATCATAAGGGGGGTACCTTCCTACTAAAACGAT